CCTTAGTTTACGTAAATACAAGTTCACATGCTTGGACAAATCTCACCGATTTGAACAAGCATAGGGACTTCTTTACAGCATATTAAATATTTTCAGTTTTTAACCCCTAATTGCTGTTGCTTTAGTCTCTAACGCATGATGTTTTCACCTATAATTAAGTTTGCATTTAACAAGTGTCATTTTTTATAGCTACTTTTGTGAAGCCTCAATGTAATCTTATTGGTGTTCAAATAAATAAATAAATAAATAGATGTTTTGGGTTTGTCACAGAAAGGTTATTGTTTGTGGACACGGCTTCCAATACCTTTGTGACGCCCTGAGGAATTTGCATTTTTTTGCGAAGCTCCCCAGATTAATTCGAAACTTGGGTCGAGAGAGGGATTCTCTACCACTGAACAACGAGAGAGAGTGATCTCAAAACCAAGAACATACAATTCAAACGAATGCACTAACTTTAAGCGAGCGACAACAGCAAATATGAACAAACATAATCAGCGTTTATTAGCTAATGAAAGGGCTGAGTGGTCTTCATATCGCACATATTTCAATTATGATTCTAATTGGTGCTCGGCGCACGCGCACTTCGGAGAAAGTTCTCGTGTGAACTCAAGTTTGGGCACGACATAAACGAACCCCATAGCAGCAGCCATAACGCTCCGCAACTAATTAACATTTAAAACCTAACTAACGATAGCATTACATCGCACAAAGTCCAACATAATAATATTGAAATTCAGAATATTCATGAATGCACCTGACGCCAAGTCAATGGCCGGTCTCATTATAGTTCCGGCTTGAATCGTTGTTTTGATGGTTTTGCTCTACTGCCTTTACGAATAAATTATTATAATCGGTAACGTAACGTTATAAAGTTCCCACACTGTTTTTACATTTATGAATTGTTAAACACCGAATTAAACTAATTACCTTAACCTTTTGGTTCCAACAATGTCTGTTTACGTTAACGTACGTTTTCGACGAGAAGGTAGAGTCACGGTAACATCACATCTAATTCTTATTATTACTTACTATACTTATTCATCTAAGCCTAAGCCTTAACTCTTCTCATAGACACGTTTACAATAAACATCTATTACCTACAAAATAAACCATAGTAATCAATAATTAAGCTTGACATCAGTGCATCTTTTTAACTATAAACTAGCATAGGAAAACTAGCTGTTATTTAAATTTTTCATGTGAATTTTCAGAACCACACAGTCAAAGTCATTATTTCAAAGACGAAGTAGAGCAGCACGTACATTTTGTACTTGAACTGGTGAATTTATAATTCATGTGTGAAATACGAGCATAATTTTTTCACTTCCAGTTTGTGATTGTCCACTTCCGAAGGCAGGGCAGCCAAGCGGCTCGCATCGCATTCCGGCACAACACAAGCCCTCACGGGGATTTTAAATGGTTGTGCGTTCATGTATGTCTACCTGTTTTATTTCGATCCGGATCATTTGTTTTATTGGATCGGTTATTGATGATATTTTACGTCGAATTACAGTATTATGTAAGTATGGGATTTGTTAGGTGTTTATTCAAAATCAAAATTATTTTATTCAATTTAGACCATTAGTGTTTAGACTAAATTGAACCAGACCATTAGTGTTAGTTAGTTAGGTAGATTTAGATGTGACCAAGTTAGATCAAGTGAAAGCAGCAATGGGAGACGGCTTATGTGACTGCACCAGACAGTCTGCCAATAGAGAGAGATGGAGGGAGATCGTGCGGAGAGTTGTATCCGCCTCTACAACCGATGTGAACAACGCCTCAACGTGACCACGACCGCTCTGCCAAGAGCGTAACGAATAAGAAGAAGAAGAAGAAGACCATTAGTGGCTCTTATGAGATAATTCTATAATAGCACTGTACTAAAATGGATTAGCGAGATAGACGGAGGAGAAGCCTTCTATTAAACTGTTACCTACCTACCACAAAAATGTAGTAGATGTAACTCTCGTGAGTGCATGGACAAAACATAGACATGACGTTATTACATTATCTAGTACGTGAAAAATAATCGGTAAAACAGATAAAATACATCTGATAGCGCTTTGAAAAGTTAAATAATAAATCTTTGGACAATTTCACACAGCGCCAGCTAGCCCCAAAGTAAGCAACTTAATGCTTGTGTTATGGGTGCTAGCTTAACGGATATACTACTTATATACTTTTTTTTTAAATACATAAATATTTTACATAGTCACACCCAGACCCGTCACAGAAATTAAAATTCATCATTTCAATTTCTGCCCGGCCGGGAATCGAACCCGGGACCTCTCGGCATAGTAGTCCGTTCTGAACCACTACACCAAAATATCTTTAGGTTAACGAACTTGCCTTATCAAGAGTTATTGGACCATTTAATATGGGTTTCCTGTGCTGCCAGCGCCGGCCACCCTTTACGCACAGCCTATAAAACGATAGAGTAAAATGAATGAACTCTAAAATAGATCTGGGGGAGCTGACTGGCAACTAGCAGCTTCCTTCCTGCGCGCGTCCGGCGTGGAGTCTCACGCGACCCGCGTCCGGGCGCCTCCGTGCTGGCCCATGGGACCACGCGCGGGCGCAGCCTCTGATGTCGATGACCATAGACTAGCTAGAATGCACTCGCTTTGAAAATGACCACAGCCAACAAATTCCAAGGAATAACAGCTACGAAAAGTTATTTATGTTAAATAAATAAAAACTTGAAAAAGCACTATGTACTCCATCTAAGGGTGTACGATTACCTATATGTGTGTCTGTATTACGGACAACGATTCCTTATAAGATAAAATAAAACGACCAATGAAATTGACAAAAATGAAAGAAACATAACCTTTAAGTATTTATTCCATTAATTAGGGAAAGGTTCAGAGAACACTGTTAAGTGTAAATGTTAACTATAAAACCAAAAGCTCAGGAAATAATAAAAAGCTCAACCAGGATAAACTGACGAAAAGTTTACATCGTAGATTAAGTGTAAACGATCTATTTAACGGAAAGTTGTGTTGTTGAAACCTGTGTAGAGCAAAGGTATAATGTTAACAACTTGAAAGATGCAAAAGCCCGCGGGTGTTAACTACCAGTCCCTTCGCTTGCAACGAGGTGCAACGTGTTGATAGACGTTACCAGAACATGTTACCAGAATTCCAGTACATTTCAATGCAAACCTGATATTTATAAATTGTTTTACAAGACACACAATCTTGTTGAGCTAGTAATTAAATGTTCACTTTGTAATTATTTATTATTGAATAGCTATCTCTACCCGTTGTTTTTAAAGTGTGCAACCTTTATCATCTCTAGTCTGTGTGGAATGCAAATTAAATTATCATTTCATAAGCGAACGCAGTCTAATTAATTTTAACATTTGTAACATTTCTGCAAAGTTAAGTCATTATAAATTATTGTTGCATATTATGAAGTTTTGTAAAGCTACAGTTATTATAACAATGCAAATGGTTTATGGCAGTATAAAAGTGAAGCATAACATAACAAATAATAATTTCATGGAAACAAGTCAATTGAGCTCATTTGCAACGCGGAGGGTGCGCGCCCCGGCTACCCACTTGACTGTTTTTGCGCCGCCGCCCGCGCCGCTTAAATTGGACCAAACTGATAATTTTGACATTAAACAGTAGTAACTGTCAAGCTTTGGCGGGAACATTACGTTTTATGTCAGTTTTTGTGCACCGAATGATGGATAACATGAGTTTGTGAGAACAAAACTTAACTCACTAAAACAAAACTTTGTGAAGCTAAGTTACAAGAAGGTATTGTTTTGAACAGCAGAAAATTATACGCTGGCTCCAACTTTTCAAACAGGTGTCATTGAGTGTCTGTTTACAAGTAGAGCAGGGTTTTAGACAAAAGAAAACTAAGTCTACGACTCGTTTTGTTTTGCCTACCTCAAACGGTCCTATTCTATTAGTGTCCATTCGTTACGGTCACAAACAAGCTCTTAGTTGACCTATATTGTAAGGACGTCATCTATCTGCATTACGAAACCTGTATCTCGTATAATGGTAGAGTGTTGAACCTTACAAAATAACTACTTATAACAGTAACTACAACTTATTTACAATTATCTAAATGTGCAGTTTATCGTTATGTAAATGTGCAGTTTTTGAAACAGTATTCATTTAATACATACGTATATCACGTTACGAGGTCATAGTTGAGCTGCGATTCAGTTATCTAAAAGTAATTATAAAACTTATTACCGTCAAATGTAATTATTTTCGTATGGCAACCATCTCATCTCACCCCGTAGCTGCGTAGTGACTCCGTTATTTTGTTAGTCCTCCACTAAAGTGTTGATTAATTAATTAAAAACAATTTCGACTAAGTAGGTATTCTTTTAACGACTTGCTATTAAAATAAATCGGTTCCGTAAATGTTGTTTATAATTTACAGATGCCTAGGCATGATTGCTGAAATGTCTGGAACACGATTAATATTTTTTTTTTACTTAGGTATTAATGATTAATTCTGAAAATGTCATTAGGAACAATGAAATAAAAACATGTTTTAAAGACATAACCAATTTATAACATACAATTTGAATGAAATTGCATGTTATCTAAGATTGAGTTTCCGTTACAAACAGAAGTTGTTAAATTTGGGTTAGCCAATAGCCAATAAAATATAAAACAAACTTGCGCTTATCTCGACTGGTTCGTTTTTATTATTTGTCGCGTATAAACGTTTTACGAGACAAAATACGGTTTTATTTTGTCACAATACAACCAATAATATATTACTAATTAGCCAACCGATATGATACCAATTAGAGTACAATCAAAAGTAATCAATTGCTTTACATGTAAATATTTACGATTTTATAAGAGTTAACAAATCTAGTATTTCTTGGTAACGTAGCGAGTAAGTAAGAGTAAGCTCCGGGACTATCTTTCAGGTACTAAAATGCTAGAACCTGATTACTTACATAAGTAAGAAATAATGGCATTAAAGTAGGTAACTTCATATGATTTCATTGTGCTTACCTGTTGGACACTGCATTCTGATCCACAGTTAACATCAAAATGGACGTCACCCGTTCGATTCTGTAAAAGAAACACATAATTTTAATGTAACATTTAGCTGTAACTTTTCCTAAGAAATGCAAAATAAAACAAAAAATAATGTAGAGTTCAATTATTATTGTAGTTAGTTTTCAGGGTGCAAGCCAGATTACAACTAAGGCCTTAGCCTTAGTTATAATCTGGCTTGCACCACCTTAACAAAACCTTAAACAAAACTCTGATGATTATTGTTACAATTTTTATTAATAAATTATATTATTATTTAAATAAGCGGAGGTAAATTATCTGACCTAACACTGTTTTAAAATCTATTATCATAGACCACACACAGTTATGTAATGTTATACAACAATGTCTATGATTTTTACCTGACTGTACGACAGAACTCAAGAGTTAACCTGTCACGGCGGATTCATAAAAAGGGAGAGATAGCCTAATAATTATGGGTCTTCAAAAAAGTAATCGAGGGCTAGTTTTTGTAACGGCCGAAGGATGTCCACCGGAGCCAGCGAGCTTCCGGCGTGACGGCGCGTGCGCATCGGAGCGTGAGCGGGTCCTACCTGCGATTAACCTCTGATTTGACATCGCACGTTCTGTGCTGCGTAGATTTATATGATACAATCAACAATTACATTAAAATACCTGTTAGGTGACTGGAATTTGACTATTACAAGTAGATAGGAAGTAAGGGAAATCTTATCCTACACGGAAAAAATGCCTCGTAGTGACTACTAAAACCAAAATTCTCGTGCTATAACAAGCACGTATACGTGACAGCTAGAAGAGAGAGAGTTTTATGCATGGACGAAAATCAGTTTTTGATAAATATTATGGTTGGTTAACAACACCGTAAAATAAAACATGCCTACAAGTAACAAGCATTTTCTATCAGTCAACCCTGATTAGAAGAGTTAGGCATAAGCGATAATCAAAGTTGGAGAATAAAGCTACCAAAGAAATTGCGTTTATTTTGAATATTATCAATTAAAATATCGACAAATTCCTATTTAAAATTGGAGATCGATAGGCTTCTTGTACCTTCTACGAGTAGGTAAAATACTAAAAGTATTTACTCCATAACTCAAGGGGTTGAAGACAATACAAACTCTATGTAAAAATCCTAGAAGTCTTATGGGATCATAATAGAATATTTTACTCTCTTATTAATGACATAAACCAACTCTTTTTGTAAATCAGGTGAAAAAAAGAGATCTCATAGGTATCAGTTTTTTGCAAGCGTGTGACCGGAACCGATCTGGTGGAGCGGTGGCTTCAGTAAGGCTTCGCAGCGAAACGCGATCCCGTGTGGTTTTTGCTTTGGGATTTTTTGGAAAAAGACTCATTCACGAATCAAACATGGGGTGTTTTGTAACATGAAACTATTGCAGTTAAGTTTGTTCTGTAAATAACGGTGTACGGTACTCAACGTACTTAACTGAATGAAAAGCTTTAATCTTGTAAATAAGATGCCGAGTTTCTTGGTTGCTTCATATCAGCGCTAGCCCACGTTTTTGTTACGAAGCAGTGGTAAAGTTAGTTAGGTAATGCTAAAAAGAGTTGATTTGTAAAAGTCTTGTTACTGAAAATAATGAATTTTAACTTAGTCCAAAGGACAGCACTTAGTTGAAAAGATCAAAATTGTGCTGTACAAGTAATAAATTTTATAAAATCCGATTTGTATGAAAATTAAAATAATTAAAATGGAGATATCAATTTTCTGACTTCACTATACCATTTATATGACCATGTTAACATGGGCTAGTGTCGGCTCATATACCCATTTACCTAACACCCTGTATAAGTTGAAAAGATCGTAATTAACATTATGAAAATGAAATGGCTGCAGGGTAGTAGAGTTCGCTTAATGATAAGACGTGTTAAGAGGACTAGCTTTACATGTTAGAATTCTATGTTCTATCCCAAGTAGCATTTTACTCCATTTAAGAGTTCAAATTTAGTTCCAATGTGTACTTAAAGCATTAGTACAGTTCACTCGTGATGTATAAGCTGTATTATTGCAATTAATTACACCTATACCTGTCTAAGGGACTTATAGGAGTGTAGACTAGTGTAGAGTTATACTTTTATACGATTGTTGGTGTTATAATACTCTAACAACTATCCTTTAGTCAGCCGTCTGACTAAGAGCATTATAGGAGGGTAGAGATACGGCAACCGCTGTTTAACGGCCTACTTGTACGATGTTATAGAGCTAGCATTTTAATAGAACACACGTGGTCATTTATAAAGCCAAAGGCTGTTATGTTTACTTGTTTTAGACTGTTATACAGCTAGTAGCTGTAGTAGGACTTGTTTGTGATAATTAAAATAACCTTTTTTTACTATCTGTACAAAAGTGTTTCAATGGTTCGCATGTGCACTGTAGGCTGTTAAAAGGACTATATGTGTTGTCCATTAACATCAATAGCAGTTTATTTGTCCACAAGTACTACTCTTATTTGCTTTAAGCTGAAAATGAATGTGAATGTGATATTCTATTACACTTTTCCCCAAGCCTGTTTTTAGTTGTATTTATGGTGGTTCTGTACATGATGCAGAGGAAAATATTATGCCTGAACCTGAAAGTTCCCTTCAAAATATACAGATATCAGAGTGTGATGATTGCAGTTCTAGTGATAGTGAATACAATTTTGATTTAGACAATTATTTAACCTTTAGCAAAAAAATAAGAACATGGGCTATTGAAAATCGTATTCCTCATTCCGCTTTGAATAAATTGTCAGGCATAATAAACGAATTTAAACCGGGAACACTACCGTCTGATGCTTTAGGTATTCATACTTGACTATTAGTACCTGGACTAGGCGATTTAACGGACATTAATAATTTTTATTGCGGATCTCTAAAATTTCAGTATTTGAAAGAATTAAAGATACACAATTGACCTGAACTAGGTGCATCTTAAAGCTGTACATAAGTTCACATTAGAATAGATTTATAGACATTAGCGCTGTAGTGGTACAAATGTGGAACTTCATATAGATAACAGCATTCTAACAGAACACATGTGAACCTAATATACGCTCACCGCATTAAATTGGAGTTATAACAGTTCACATAGCCGTATTTCATTTCCACCATTTTGTTCTACATAACCTAAAATATTTACCAAATAAATCTCCAAAATTAATGCAGATTTATCACAAAATTCGCAGATAGAGCAATTGAGTTTTGGTTTCATGTTATAATTAATTACCGTAATATAATTATAATGGCAATACAATATCAAAAACTGAAAATTGTAGATTTCCTCTCAGCCAGTTTTAAATATTTTAAAATGAATATCGCGTTTTTACAGAGGCGCGTAAATATTTTAGCTGTAAATATGTATACATTTCACGATAAAGTTGCATTCCCAATGGCATTAACATTATTAAGTATTTAAAACTCGTGTTATTATTTGCATAAATGATTATCCGCCCGAGTTGTTTCCCCTTGGCACTCACGTACAAATACCAAACTACATAATATTAAAATGTGGAAATAATTTAGGACACACGTGAACTTTAGGTAGCATTGAAATACTTTTGTCGGACTTTATAACTTTGAAAGCTGTGCATTTAGCCACTTGTTACTCTTTATTACACTCACGTACGTTGTATGGTTCACACTGCGTCCCATATAGTGCCGTAAGTCAGCCTTAAGTCCGATGTTACTACTTAAACTGCTATTATAATGCTATTATACTGCTAATGTACAGCCATAGTGAACTTAAGGCTGTCTAATTTGTGCCCAAACTGGTTCTATAAAAGCATTATAGCAAGCTATACAGTTCGTATACAGCTGACATACACAGCTTGTGGAGTACATGTGAACGACTAGACATACTATATAGAACCCCGAATGCTACTTGGGATATTCTTTTACTAGCCATCTAAAGCTCTTTTAAGAGCTAATTAATTCGAAGTACATACATTTATTATTTAATAAAGCCAGTCAAGATGTAAACAATCCGTATGTAGAATCAGGACCAAGGCCAGAGTTTGAGTGCCTAATCCAGCGAGTTGGCCGAAGTGTAGGGACGCTCTATATTTAGCGCCGCGTTCATTATAGTAGATCGCTAATTGTTCACAATTACTTAGATGTGCGTTGAACCTGCGCGAGCGCAAACAAACAATATGCGATCGTCTTCGCCCCCGCGTGAACAGTAATTCATTGACGGCTTTCTATCAATGACTGCATCTATTTCATTCGCGGTTTTCTATTATTGCTTGCGATATTATCGATAGGACAAAAGGTTATTGGATAAGTTATATGGCTTCTAGTTATTACTGAATGATTAATGGGTAATTTGGCGCAACGAGAAATCAAATGATAAACAAATATTTTACGACAGCTTCTCGCATTAGCCCATTACTGATTAAGATTACAAATAAATTACAACACCTACAAGACCATCTTGATTAAATATCAGACAATAAATGATTCACTGCAAAAAATGACCTAAGACCAGATTAGGTTTATTCGTGATGCATATAAACATTGCTCTTATCTGCAAAAGCCTGTTTTGGGTATACGAACACATTGAATATTCATGTTAATTTTAAGAAGAAAGTAAGTATTCTACTGAAAAATGTATAATAATATTGTAAAATACACATATTTGATTTGATTTATTGAAACCTTTAGCTTATACCAATACCAATACTTTATAAAATAGAATCAAGGGTAGGTTAGTCCTTAAAGTTATAATGAACTTATTTGGGAAATCGAACCTGGAAGGGACATTTTTCATTGCACCGAGCAACGGCTTCCGCTCCAAATTTCTCGGTGATGGAACTGTAATCGCAGCCAATTGGCCGAGCGGACAAAGCCAATCCGAGCAGCGACAACACTAGCCATTTGTGCCAATTCTGCGGCGCGCTCATTGTGCTCCTCCACCGACTCCACTCCTGCGCACTGTCATCCGACCACGAGAAACATATCCACATTCGCACTCCAATATCACATTATAATCAGTCTTGAAAAGAGATCTTGGGTCCTTTGATGTGTTTGTTTGTTTAATCAAAATGTTGAGTTTTCGCGCGTAACGGCATAACGTTCGTAGTCGAAAGCGCGGGCGAGGTGGGTGCGCGCACGCATCGAAAGCCGCTCGTGGACTGAATCGCGCGCATCCGCCCGTCTCCGCACGCGCTACGCGTCGCCCGCCGCGCTACGGTTGGGCGCTGCTACGGCTCTCTTACCTGTAGCCGTAACCAATAATTAATGGCAGATACGCCCATTTCATGAAACGACGCCCAGTACACTAATTTAAGTAAGATTTCATCAAGTGATTTATTGAATTTGAATCAGAATATTGGGACAAAAATCTCTGGCTTCAATTTCTTAGTGTGTTTTCATACTTTCACGCTATTTCAGAAAACAGCTTAGGCGTAGTTATTTCGAGGTATTAGTATTTAGTATTGAGATTCTCGTAGATGTCGTAGCAGATTTCAGCCTTAGTTAATTTAGCCTTAGTTAAAGCTGCATTGCGTATGTTTTATTCATTCAACTTAATAGGACAGTCTTAAACATAGGTAAGTATGCAGTGCAGTGATAAAAGGTGCCAAGAGGATTGGACCGATAACATTTCGCTCTTAAGCAAACCAAAATTAATCATTGAGACAATATTTTCTCGTTACGTTCTACTGCCGTTTGACCTTGTTGATCCTAATTCTGTGGTTTATGGCACATTGGTCATGGCGTGGTGGAGCAAGGACGATGCGCGGCTTCCAATTGATATAACGACACACCAAGTTGATTCCACTTCCCACGCTTAGTCCGCGGCATTCCGCTACAAACTCAACCCGATGACTTCATCTAGATACCAACTAGTTATTTTACTAGATTTTTAGGTAAATAATGCTCAGGCATACGTAAATGGACAACGGTAAGAATATAATTATATTGGTACCTACAAATTAATGCATCTGTGTTTTCAGCTCACAAAAGCTACATCTAGAAAAAATATCAATAATATTGTATCAATCAAGCTGACCATGATTTGTTGTTAAAATTGGGCATGATAAAAGGTATAATTTTTGCTAATAATATTAGATATTATTTTATATTCTTTTGGAAATTCAATAACAATTTCTATCTAATCACGGTTACGACCTTAAGACCGGACTATTTTATGAATAAGAATGAGAGATAACAAATTTAGAACCAGTAAACATCTAATTATACCTAACATAACTACAGTTTTAAATACAATCGTTTATTTCAACCAAAACACGTCCACTGCTCGACAAAACAGTAGCTAATTCTATTTTTACTGTAAACGTAAGCAAGATCATTAATTAACATATACCTACACATTATTTATTACTTACCTTCGTTATTTTAAATCCAGAACAGCGATACAGCTATCCAGCGAGATGGCATACTCAGCTGACAGAAAGTCTCGAAGTATAAACAGGCCTGTTCATCTCCGCGAGTTTACATCGAAAACAAAACACGCATGATGGCCCACCTACAGGATACTATTCGACAAGGACTCACATACGAGCGAACATTGACTCACGCACGCGTATTCTTGTGTATGATGGAAGAAAATAAAGAAACTGGTGTACTAAATACTGTGCAGTATTTAACTGCCTAAATAATAATAAAAACACAGAATGTACTTTTTTAAGTTGCCTCAAGACACTGAGAGGTAAATACGTAGTTAATATTATTCATGATAATAATTCATGCTAAATCATGTATTTCCTCCGCCATTTTCCGCAGTTTGGCACCTCACGTCACGTCACATCATTTTACCGAAGTCAGCCCTATAGCTTCGGCGCAGTGCCGATCACTGACGTTTGTCAACAAAATGGTGCTTGACTTTGAGACAGGCTAAATTACACCATATTGTTAATGACATTGAGCATACATTTTTTCAAATACCTTCGCGAAGTAAAACTTCTGTACGTAGTACTTATTATTATTCTGTGGTATAAACTCGACTCTATCTACAACAATTTACAAACCGATGTTGTTATACATTACTTTGTGTCAGGCGTTACCCTTCTTCCTTTCCTAATGTTTTACAGGTAATATGCATCGCTTAGTGACCACAAGATGCAAAAGAAATAATCAGGTATTATTAAAGATTTAATCTTGCCTTGTAAAAGACATAAACGCACCTGATATTGATTAAATGTAGTAATTAACTTTGTATTACATTCAAAGAAAGTTATGAAGAAAAATAATAAGTACATTATTATTTTAAGAATACATTAACTGAATTTCAGCTTTTCCAAAAAAAAGTGTAAGTAACCCGTTCCACGGGAACAGTAACTAGTAGTAGTCTCGTATTTTGTAATTACTAACTCTGATAGCTATAAAATTCTAAGATTTCAATTAAAGTCTGAACTTTGCTTTTTATCCTAAACGTAAAGCCGCCATTATTTCAGTAAATCTATATATATAAAAGAAAGTCGTGTTAGTTACTTCGCTTATAACTCAAGAACGGCTGAACCGATTTAGCTGAAAATTGTCAGGGAGGTAGTTTAGAGCCAGGAGAAGGACATAGGATACTTTTTATCCCGTTCGAAATAAAAAAGTCTGCTTATTTATTGACATTAAGGCGGAACAAAGTTCGCCGGGTCAGCTATCTATATATATAAAAGAAAGTCGTGTTAGTTACTTCGCTTATAACTCAAGAACGGCTGAACCGATTTAGCTGAAAATTGTCAGGGAGGTAGTTTAGAGCCAGGAGAAGGACACAGGATACTTTTTATCCCGTTCGAAATAAAAAAAAGTCTGCTTATTTATTGCCATTAAGGCGGAACAAAGTTCGCCGGGTCAGCTAGTTATAGAAAAAAATACAATAACTCAATGAGATACCATAGCTCCGCCATCTAGAGCGCACCATAGTGAATCATTGTGTCTGAATCTCCAGTTCAAAGCAAGCGTACTACACAATATTTATCAATAGGGCGCTACGAGTGAAGTAGACGTTAGGGAAAACTCTACTAGATGGCGCTACCAGTCAATCAGCAATAGCCATAGAGTCAACGAGCAATACTCTAATTTACTAAAATTGCCAATAATTATATCCACTCTACTAATTATTATCAATAAATAAATAGAAAGCATTTCATTAACCACACGTAAAACACTTATTTATACATCGCTTCCGTACTTCATTAGCACAGAAGGTTTATTATGTAGCTGATAAGATTAAAATATTTTTTACAAAAGACTGTAAAAATGTTAAATTTTATGCACTTAAAAAGTACCCAGTTTATTAACAGAAAGAAATTGTATAAACATAGCGCATAGGATTGGGAATGTTGTAATCAGGAGTAAGGTACTTTACAATCGTAAGTAGAGTTACACATTTTCAGCGTTTATTTACCCTAAGTTTGGCCAACTTTAATGTGACATCTTCTACTTCAAGTTTGAGGAGGTATGGTTGAAATGATATATCATCTAATAAAACCACTTTATGTACGTTAATGTACGTCTCTACGTAAACCATCATTATAAATATTGGCATATCACTTTACATGAAGTTTTCCTGGAGGAAAATAAGCTAAATTGCGTTATGAATGACACACAGTAGTTTCCACAACAATAATTGGCTACTTTGAGCCTAAATTCAAAGTAGTGAGGGTCGCAGGTCGCAAAGTAATTTGCACTATTCGTTTCTTAAATTGAGCTAAGCTGGACAGCACCTTAACCCTTTCACGCATATGGGACACATTTGTCCCCGCACAGTTTTTACGATTTACAGTAATACTGGTTAAGTTAAACCATTTGTAGTTTAATATTCTTAAATTTTATTATTACCTTTTATGATTATGCGCTAGAAATAACAAAAAACGCGATTCCTTGTGTAAAAAAATACTGGCACAAAATGTGAAAAAAATATTTGTTAGACGTCAAAATTAAAAAATATTTTAATATTGCTTAGCAGCTTTTTGGCCATTATTTTTCTTCCGATTTACATTCACTAATAAGTATAATTATCGATTTATTACATATTTTCGATTTTCTTCATATGCATAATGAATATTATGTAAAAATCTGTGTTGGGACACGGGTGTCCCTATGTGCGTCAAAGGCAACTTGGTTCTTACTAAGGATATTGTTTGCCTCGTTATAATTTGTATGTTTATATTGATGTTTTATTTATAATTCATACATTTTTTTGTAAATCATTTGTCTTCAAATCGATTTGAAGAAATTTCGCTCAGGAAAGACGAAATTTTAAAGTCACTGAACTGACAATAGTGACAACGAGGATGGTTTCCTCCTTGATGAAAGGGTGTCTAATGCTGGACAGAGGCTTCCCTGAGGATTTCCGCAACAATCGTTCCTGTGCTGCTCGTATACCTACATGAATGTATATGAGCAGCACAGGAACATGAGGCCTGCTACACTGTGTCTTACTATTCGTGGGCGCCCCTTGAGAAATTTTCTGCCCAAACGGCCATCACTTCTACGAGCTATGTGCCCTGCCCATTGCCGCAAAAGATTGGTAATTTTGCGGGCTATGTCTGTTACAATGAGTCTCCTGCGGACTTCCTCATCACCCTTTGGGTGACTTTGAGCCTTCTCATAAGGCCCATAGTGAAGGAACATGTCTCCATTCCGTGCGTCTTCGCCGCCAATCCAACATACATTGGTCAAAGACTTTCAGTCAAAGGTCTTGAGACCCTGCGGTATTTTGGATAAGAAGTCGCGAAGCCTCTCGGATGCTGTCCCCCCAAGTAAGATTCAACGATAGTAGTCACGGCACGGCTGAGACCTTGGAAGACCTAGAATCAATGCTCTATGGCCTCAGTTGAGGCTCTCAATAAATGGGATTTAAAATAAACATGGACAAGACGAAAAAATTACGTGAAATATCCGTGTTACACGCACTCCTCTGAACGCTGGAGACTCTACACTCAAAGTTGTTCTTCAAACAAACAGTCTAGTTGGGTAGGTCTCACTTCAAGAAAGAGGTCTATGATTAGATGAGGATCAAATATAAAAATACGTAAGATATGCTGCTATCTATTTTAAATTTCTTATTATAAATATTAAAAATAAGCTTATTGATTAAATTTGATGTGTATTTTTAGTGTGATTTGTATTTATTTTGCAATAAAAGCGTCGAAGTATTTTATTTTC